TGATAATATTGACGGATTACCTTCTGGGGGGTAGCAGAACAAGATGTCAAAGATTTAAGATTTTAAAAAGATCACACATTTTAATTTGAGGCAGTTTTATTTCTTTGATAATGTGGTAGTACATCTCTTAAACAAATGGCAAACTAAATAGATGGTAGCTGCAAATTAAAGAGGAGTTTAAGAAGATGATTAATAAGTATTTGATAAGCAGAGTTGGATTTAGTGATTAGTTTTCTGTTTGTTGGGAGAGTAGGGAAGTCAAATATCCTTCAGGAGAAAGAATCCTTGATATCTCAGAAATTATAATTAATAACAATAATAAACAGTTTCATTTTCTACTCTCTAGACTTTTCTCTATCTTGATTAGTTATACAAGTGATATTAGGCTTCTCTATAAATATTTGAGTGAAATAATTAAAACAATGAAACAAGATGACATTCCCACAAATATTGTGTGGACAAACTCTATAATACTTCTAGAAAAAGAAAATCTTTTTGTGGCATATTTTTATAATATAAAGGAATGAGTGATAATTGAGAGTTTTCAATAACTTAGTTTAATATGCCCAAGTACAAGCTAAAGCATGCTTGCTTGCTTACTTTCAAATGCATAACAAAGACACTTATCTCACACACGATAAAAAATTTCTGTATCACCCTTAATGAAGTAAAATGAAATTAGTAAACTGGTTAATCCAAATTAGTCATTAAATAAATAAATTAACTCCCATTCTCCAGTGACCTAGCACTAACCTTCAGGACTTATGATGCTAAAATTCAGGATTCAATACCAGCAGAGGGGAAAGAGCAGATAGCCCATTGTGTAGCTTTGTGCTTAAAAACAACAACAAAAAAAGTTAAATCATAAAACATTTACCAAACAGAAAATAGACACTCACTTCTTGAGCATTTTCATGTAAGACTCTTCTTAATTCTTCCAAGCTATTGATAGCATCTATCACAGCTGCAAGTCTAAGACGAATATCTTTGATGATCTCCTCAGTCATACCGAAGATATAGAAACTGAAACTGACAAAAGATTTCCCATCTCATTAATAATATATATATATATATACATATGTGAAATAAACTGGCAAGCCTTTCACCATTCCTTATTTTTTTTCAGAGCTAAATAAAACAAGAGTGTGAAAACAATTTCTAATTTTTTCACTACATCATTTTATTTTGTGTAGATCTGTATTATAAGACAGCATAACTTGCTACCAGATTCAAAGTCACCAGTAATAGCTTGTAAAAAATATTACCGAAGTAGGCTCTGAATTAAAAGTGTGCAGTGAGAACAGTCCATTCTAAGATGAAATTACACAGATTTCATTGATTTTACGAACAGCAAACTTTACTCAATGCTTCATTTAATCATGCATAACCTTAAGTGAAAAGCCTATTTTTTTTCAGTGTAGTACGTCATGTAAGTTATCTAATTACTTTTCTCTCAAACCAATAACTTTTTTCAATGAATGTTTCAGTTTTCAGAAATCATGCTATCCTTAACCCATTCGCTACGGCTGGTACATATACGGCCTATTAAATGTTCTTCAGTTCACAGCATCAACTCATCATAGTCATTGCTATCTAGTAAATCCATAAAATAACCTGGATTTTCCCTGGCTTTAACAGAGCTCGCTGCAGCAACAAGATGTAGTCATAAGGGACTTTCTGACACATGGAAGGTGGAAATAATTGACTTACTGTATGGCAAAACATAGTGGAATGTTAATGGACAACATTACCACAAACAGTTATGATGCAACACCTCTCATGGTAGTTTTAAAAGCAAGAATCCCTGTGTGTGTGTGTGTGTACAAGCCACAGTGAATGGGTTAATCATGTATGCTAGAGCACATCAATCCATCACTGTAGGTCGTCCAACACGTGAAATATAAAATTCTGCTCTTAAATATCATTAGATGTAACATTTAACAGAATAATAAACTGATTCCATCCATTTAAGAGTAGTAGATGGTTAAGAACTGTTTTTGTGAAATGTACTGGATTTTTTGGACATAGGACAGTTGTCAAAATTAATGAGACAAATAAAAACAATTTACCAAGATATCTGATCATAAAACAATTGGTATCTGGCTCGACAAAATGAAGATAGTTTTAGTATGTAAGTCAGAAGAATTCTTTAACAGGTCAATTTCTTATTAGAATTTGTATATAGATCTTCATGGTCACACAAGTAAAATGATAATCCTTACTGAAAACTTTGCAAGCAGATTGTACAAACAGTAACATAATTCTTCTAAATCTGGAGGTCAATCAGTTGAACTTTAGGCATTGAGGTCACAGAACTTTAATGGACTACAACTGCCTGTTGAAAGAAAAGGATGAAATTTCAGCTTTGATACTAAGGAAGGCCTCAAAACAGAAGATTAAACATTTTCTCCTTTTTTTTCAACATGCAGTTCTAGTCCATTAAAAATTCTCAAATCTACTATGTACTGATATGCATGGTGTTTTCCACGTATAACAGACTAGGAATAAAATCAACACAAAGCAAAGCTACTGTTCATCCACAATACATACTACTTAATGAAGTAGCCTTAATTAAAGCTTAATGAAGTTGTAGTTATCTGACTGAGCATTTGATTTGATTGTGTAGGTTTACCCATGTTTTGATCTATAGAGAAAAATTGTGTTAATTAATATTACTAACATATAACTTTTTTCTTATTATGTGTCTTGCATTTTATCAAAATATTATCTTACTTTTCCATTAATACTGCAGCTTCAATATCAATTAGTGTCAAGTTTCTATCCTTTAGCCTAGTCCAAACTAGTAGTAGCAGTGAATCTAAGTTTCAAATGGACAGCAACTGCCTGTTGTAGAAACCTACAAATGTAGAGGACG